CAGGGATGGAAGAAAGTTAGTAAAATGTATATGAAAATCTTTCTCCTGTCAGAGTCTGGGGTGCACCATGGGACCCAGAGTCAAGTACCCGCCCACTCACGTGCGCCTCAAAATCGTGAGGCCCAAACCCGGCCGCCCCCCCCCCCTTTGGGCTAGATCCAATTTGCATGTTTCTCTTTTATTAGATTAGATGCATATAAATTCTTTGGTTACTCTCTTTCCGCCTCCCCCTCCCCGTTTCCCTCTGAGATTTGTCAGTCTTTTCCATGCGTCTTTGTCTCTGGATCTATTTTGTTCTTCAGTTTATTTTGTTCATTAGATTTTACATATGAGTGAGATCATGTGATACTGCTGGTGGGAATGCAGACTGGTGCAGTCACTATGGAAAACAGTGTGGAGTTTCCTCAAAAAATTAAAAATGGAACTTCCATTTGACCCCACTCCTAGGAATATATCCTAAAAATCCCAAAACACCAATCAGAAAGGATATATGCACCCCCTATGTTCCTAACAGTGCTATTTACAATAGCCAAGATCTGGAAACAGCCCAAGTGCCCCTCAGTAGATGAGTGGATAAAAAGCTGTGGTACATTTACACTATGGATGTAAAAAAAGAAGGATCTCTTACCCTTTGAGACAGCATGGAGGGACCTGGAGAGTATTATGCTAAGGAAAATAAGCCAGTCAGAGAAAGACAAGTATCACGTGATCTCACTTATATGTGGATATGTCCTTCCTCCGGGTACCAGGAAAAGCTTTCTAAAAAGCAAATTTGATCATATTCTTTAGCAATTAAAATGTTGCTGGTGTCCCATGCTTACTGAATAAAGTTCAAACTTGACATGGTATACAAAACTAGGTCCCACCTGGACTAAGTTACCAGTCCTTTTGAAACTGGACAACCAGTGGGTCCAGGCTGCCTGTCACTACTTGAGCCAATTAAGCAGAGACGGGGTTGAATCATATATGAGCGTTTATTCCAATCCTGCCGGCAGTATGGGAGAGCAGCAGGTCATCCACAAAAATCTGCTCACCATAAGCCTGCTGCTTATATAGGTAGGACAAAGATTACATGGGGAAGTAGGGAACAAGTATGGGGAAGCAGGCTGTGCAGGCTGCAGTGGGACTCCATTGTTTGGACAACAAGGTTGTTAATCTTTCCTTGATAATAGGCAGTTTTAAAAAAATTATCCTTAGTTTTGTTGAAAGTATTACAGACATCCCCTTTTTTCCCCATTGACCCCTTCTAGCCAGCCCTCCTGATTGCCCCGACACCCCCTGTCCCCTCTCTGCTGGCCCGAGTCTTTTCTCTTTTGATGGACACTTGGGTTGTTTCCAGTTCAACATAACAAATGAAGCTTCAATAAACATCCTTACATATTCCTCCCCTCCAGTTCTTATTTCTATGGGAGATATCCCCCACTGTGGATTGCTGGGTCAGGGGGGTGGTATTTTCATTAATATTGTCATATTACATTCGCAAACATGAAAGCACATTCCAATCTCCACATTTAAAAAAATTATTATTTATTGTTGAAAGTATTACATATGTCCCCCTTTTCCCCCATTGACCCCCTCCAGCCCACCCCCACCCTCATCCCCTGTCCCAGGCCCTCACTGCCCCATTGTCTGTGTCCATGGGCCATGCATATATGCATATATGCATACAAGGTCCTTGGCTGATTACCTCCCACCTACTCACCTTCCCCCGCCTTCTTGAATGAGAATGGACTGCATTCCAAGGTTGACTCTCATGTCTTGGTGGCATACAACTCCCAGCCAAATTAGAATGTCCTTTGTTTAACCAGAACATGGTTAACAGAGCATGATTAATATTTTCCATAATTACAGCTAGTCCCCAATATTCTATTTTTGCCCCTAACACCTTGTCTACGTTCAGGCAATTTTCATTCCCTAGACCTTCATACAACTCTGCCTTTGCATACAGTGCTTTTCTGCTGGAGGTCTTCAGTGCACATGTGTTGATTTTTCCTCCCCGACAATCACTTCTATTTCTTGTGGTACCAGCATCCCATGAACCATCTACCCTGCTTCTCAATCCATGTGTTTCAGATGGGTGGCTCCAGGCCCCTTCTCCCCCATTTCAGGCCAAGCCAGATCATTTAGCTTCTTTTTTGAATTTTGAACATCATAAGAGCTTTGAAGAGATAGTCCATTTCTGGCTCAGTCCTGCTTTCCAAGAGTAATTCTTCAGTTTTCCTCTGATGCTGTAAGCTGTGCTATAGACACCCTTCCTATGAATAGCCAGGTAATTTTCTTACTGTGCTTTTAATGAAATAACTCCCAATGAACCCCATCTTTCTGCACCAGAGAAACTCTTATTTATGCTTATCTTCCAAGATCCAAGTTAAATGTCCATTTACTCATTCAATTATTCATTCAATAAATATTTACTGAAAACATACTATGATTTGGGCACTATGAAAAGTGCTGGGGATATAATTATAAATTAAATAAATATGGTTTTGCCATATGGACTTTAAAATGTCTCCAAATAAACAACTTTTGGGGAGAGACTTTAGGTGCAGAGGACAGAGTTAATCATATCTCTCCATCCATGGCACCCTGTCAGTATTGGTATGGGTAATCAATTAATTACCTCTACCTCCCCCAACTTTCCCCCCTCCCCATAGGCAACCATATTAATGTGTTTGATATATATTTTAATGTTTTATTGTGAAATGTATATTGTAGTTTTGTAGGCATGTGCTTTTAATTAACATGAAGAGTATTACATGGCTTATTTCTTTTGGTTTCCTAATTTTCTTCATTCAGCATGGTTGCATGCCTGAAGTATTTGAGATGAGATAAAGGGCCTTAGAAGCAAATGTAAGAATTTTGGCATTTACTGTGTGTGAAATGAGAAGTCATTTGAGGGTTTTGAGCAGAGGGGAAACATGATTTGAATCAGTGTTTTACAAGGGAAGTCTGCCTGCTGTGTTGAGATTAAAATTCAGGGGTGCAAGTGTGGAAGCATGGAGGCTGGTTAGGGGGCTGTTGCAATAATCCATGGAGGGTTGATGGTGGTTTGAACCACAAATGTATATGTTCCTACATGAGGAACTCCTGTAAATGTTATTATTATTTTTTAATCCTCCCCCAAGAATATTTTTTCATTGATTTTTTTTAGAGAGAGTGGAAGAGAGGAAGGAGGGGGGGGAGAGAAAGAAAGAAAGAGAGAAACATCTATGTGAGAGAGATACATTGTTTGGTTGCCTCCCACACATGCCCTGACCCCAGCCAGGGATTGAACCTGCAACTGAAGTACGTGCCCTTGACTGGGAACTGAACCCATTACCCTTGGTCTGCTGGCCAACGCTTTAACCACTGAGAAAACTCGGCTAAGGCAGGAAATCCTGTATGTAAACAAACAAAAGCCCAAGAGAAATAACACAAGAAAACCCCCAAATTAAAAAGAAAATGAGATGCAAACTATTGATAATCAGATAAATGTGTATTAAAACGATAACATGACATTGCATCTGTTATTCTGGCAAATATTAGAAAGCTGGACACTGCCAACTATTAGCTGAGTTATGAAGACTTAAACATCCTCTTGCTCCATTTATGGAAATGTAGAATCGAGTAGCAATGTGACACGCTTAGTCAAGTCCTGTATGCACATACCCCTGTCCTAGCAATTCAGCTCCTGGTTATATGTTCCAGAGAAATTTCCGCACACGTTCATGGGGAATGTGAAGAAAGATATTTATTGTAGCATTGTTTGTAGCAACAGGGAAGTGAAGGCCAATAACTGGGCCAATAAATGGGAAAAATGTGTATTAGGCTTTGTGAAATCCCCACTTTATGAATAGTATCCCTATAACAGTGGGACTTTTAAATAGCACGGTGTGTACGGAAACCATTCTCCCGTACACACACACGGCTGCTTATTTCCCGGTACACACTTCTTAGTGTTTGGACAAGGACACTGGGGTCCGGGGCTCAGCAGACGGCCAGCCCCATGGGATCATGTGTATTAGGCTTTGTGAAATCCCCACTTTATGAATAGTATCCCTATAACAGTGGGACTTTTAAATAGCACGGTGTGTACGGAAACCATTCTCCCGTACACACACACGGCTGCTTATTTCCTGGTACACACTTCTTAGTGTTTGGACAAGGACACTGAGGTCCGGGGCTCAGCAGACCT